TTTGGAGATCAGCCCTCTGTCAGATGTGGGGTTGGTGAATATCTTATCCTATTCTGTGGGCTGCCATTTTGTCTTGCTGACTGTGTCCTTTGCCTTACAGAAGCTTCTCTGATTCAGGAGGTCCCATTTATCAATTGTTGATCTCAGGGTTTGTGCTACTGGTGTTATGTTCAGGAAGTGGTCTCCTGTACCAATTAATTCAAGGGTATTTCCCACTTTATCTTCTAATAGGTTCAGTGTGGCTGGGTTTATGTTGCGGTCTTTGATCCATTTTGACTTAAGTTTTGTGCAGGGCAAAAGACTTGGGTCTATTTGTAGTCTTCTACATGTTTGCATCCAGTTATGCCAGCACCATTTGTTGAAGATGTTCTCTTTGTTCCAGCAAATAAATTTGGATTGTTTGTCAAAAATCAGGTGTTCGTAGTTGAAAACCCTGATATTAACCCACACACCTATGAAAAATATATTTTTTACTTTAGAAATTATTTCTGTTGTTGGGGAAGTATGATGTATGGCAGATGTGCCATGGAGCATTGGTGTGTCAGAGGACTTCTTTGTGGAACAGTTCTCTCCTTCCACCTTTATAGCGTGTGTTCTAGGATCCAACTCACCTGGTCAGGCTTTGTGTGGGCTCCGGTCTTCACCACTGAGCTATAGTCCTGCTCTCTCTTCATTTTTATCCTATTGTTCTCACTACATACGCCACTTGTTATTTGAAAATTATACTTTTGATGGATATATAACTTCTTTAGGCATCCTCTTAATTCTTGACATACATATTGTTTTTATTTGATAATAAATGTCAAAAACTTTACTTTTAATCCATAATCTTAGGATTGGAAAGTCCTACAAGATAGTTTCCTATATTAAGGAATAACAAAGTGTTTTAAGATCCTTAAAACCACATGAAATGCTTTTCCAGAAAAGTTTAAAAAATGTATAAGCTGGGTGTATTTCTGAATTCCTTACAAAAGTATTTTGCACTCTCCTATGATTGTCTAAACAAGACAAATAGGTGGAATCAAGAGTACTGGTGGGGATTATGTTGCTAAATGACAGTTCATCAAAGAAAAAATGCTGTGTATCATTAAGGTCTATCCATTCTTAGTAATAAACAGTACAGTTCAGGTGTTCCGAACTTGAGAAGTAAAATATATGCTCCAATAGCACAGAGTGAAGTTTAGAACCTGAACCTCTGCTAAGAGATATGTGATGTAGCCTGACTCTTGGAAGGTTCTGGGACTCAAGGGTGCATGAAATGAGTTTCTGAGATCTTGATTGGAGATATAGGATGCAGTATTTGGGTCAGCTTCACAGTTTCCTCTAGGTCATCCCTTTAAATCAGAGGGGACTAACACAAAATAGGAGACCCAATACTCACAAAAAGAAATAAAGATTCTAGTCTCCTAGACTAGGAATATTGTGAAATCCTCTTTTGTGAGTTTCTTGACTCTGACCTGCTATTAGATTTTCAGGATAACTGTGCATTCTACTTTCACTGTCCATAGTACAATAAATATGTTTCAAAGAAGGACTTTCCAAATATTTAAAAACTCACATTATCAAGACTGCTTTATACCCTTGACTGAAACCAGAGGTAATTTTGTTTATTGGTTAGAATATGGTAAGAATGTGAGCAAAATTTGTAATATAATTTGGATTGGTGTCAGAAGACTGTGTTGTTGTAAAAGTGAACCTCAAACTTTCAGTGATCTATGTCAATAAAGGGATACACACACACACACACACACACACACACACACACACACACACACACACCAGTCTGAATCAGGCAGACTGCCCATCTTTGTGCAGTAGAGGTGTCATACCAAAGTAGCTGAGGCAAGAGGAAAGCTAAGGTATTCAAGTAGACTTGAGTGACACAGCTTAAAAGTGACACGTACCAACTCCTGGCTCAGTCAACTAGCCAGAATTAGAAACATGGTTCAAATCCTGCTGGATGAGAACCCTGGAAAATATGCAGAAGAACACACAAATGTTTCATGAATCCTACTGGTCGTTAATGTACATTCTTTATCCTTGTTCCTTTAAAATTATCTACTTAAAAATCTATAGGCAGTATCACATCTTTTTAAACTAAAAAAAAAAAACTTTCTTAAATCATCATGTTGTTTTCCTATATGCTTAATGGGCACTTGTATGATGTAGTACATAACATGTTTTGAAGAAATCAAAACTTTTGACTTATCAATTCTAAGATCTCTGTAAGCCATTTAACTTCTCCAAACCTGCTTCCTAGCTAAAAATTGAATAGTGATTTCTCATCTATGGGTATATTTTTAAAAATTAGGTTGAGGATAGCATGCAAAGCACTAGACATAATGCCTAACACACGAAAGATGTTAAACAAATGCAATTTTTCATTTTATTTTTATTTGAATTGTCCATCATATAGTAGCATCTGTGGTACACTCATAATCCCCAGACAGCAATGTACTCAGTGGGGACAGGAGGTATTTTTGCTGAGTTTAAATGAAATGTCTATTTCTTATTCTTGTAGGTCATGGGGAGTTTCAAAGGTCATGCCCTTCCTGGAACCTTCTTTATTCTCATGGGCTTTTGGTGGAGTACAAAGGTTATTCTGAAATATGTCTACAAAAAGCAAACTCGGACCTGCTACCTTAGTTCCAAAACATTTTTACGTCGAGCAGAAATTTGGGAAGGAGTTGTCGCAATCATAATGGCTTTAACTGGTAAGCTGACTATGGTTGTGTTCTGTTATCTTCTGTAGAGTAATATTTTATTAGTGAAAAAAATGCCAATACAAGATTGAGATATACTAAGTGAATTTTGTATGTTTCTTAGTATTTATCCCAATTACAGTTTATAACAGATATACACTTAGGAAAATGATTATTTTTAATTATACAAAGCCTAATCCTTAATGAGTCACAGTATTTAATTTGCCTATTCAACTAAGTGAATTTCCTTTGTATAACAAGTTGGAGCCTGTGAAATAGTTTGATACAAGTTGTTCTGATCACTTAAAGAGTAAACTCTGTAAGAAACCATTTTGTAAATTACACTAATCAAGTGATTACGGGTAATCTTCAATAACAAATCATTTCTGAGAAATGATAGAGGGAGTCAGGTCTGAAGGATCTCTTGTTCCATGTACATCCACCTTGTTTCCTAGCCTGGATAGAGTCCAGATAACTCTTCACTTGAAGAACTTCCATTGCTATTGAACATTCTATAAAAAGGTTCTGCATTTTCACAGTAATGTGGTAGATGCTCCTTTGTAAATGATAACACTTCTAATTTTCCACCAATTGTTTTCATTCATGTCAATAGGACTTTGTTGTGAGCATCAAATTACAAAGTAACCATTTCCAAAGAGCAGAATTCCCCTGCACATTGTAGAGGTTAACAAGGCAGTGTCTAAAAAGCACCAACAAACCTGTCTACATGAATAATTAACCACATGGAGAGTCTGCTTGAACAATCTCTATTATTCTTAATTGGGGAAAATCTAAATGCTTTATCACTTTTGTCAGGAATCACAGAAAGCACCTTACTTTGTAATAGCTGCTTAAGGGTGTATTATCTAGAAAGGAAGTAAACATCCTTTATATGACACATACCATAAATCCAAATCTCCAAGTCATCCAGGACTCCAGTCATTGATTAGAGCCAGTTGTTGAACTAAAATTATCATTGTTAAGGATATGAAACAGTTATTTGGCTCATTTGTCTATATGTGAATAAGACATGTTATCCAAACCAACAGTTGAACTTTTGAATCAAGTCTAAGTCATTATTGCTAGGATTTCAGAGTGAGTTAATCAATGTCATAATGTTAGAATAAGCAATGAACACATGGCCCTGTGTCTTCACGAGTAGTCAGTTGAGTTGGGAAGAGGGTTGCTGAAACTGTGTTGTATTCCTCGGCAGGTATGGTTGGGGAGCAGTTCATCTCAGGCGGACCGTACCTGAATTTGTATAAAGATGGCCAGTGGAATCAGCTTCTGGGCTGGCATCACACAACAATGTACTTCTTCTTTGGGTTACAGGGTGTATCCCAAGTCATATGTTTCACGACCAATTTGTTTCCAACATCCTTGAGCAAGTTAATGTTATCAAATGCCATCTTTGTAGAGTGTAAGTATGAGGGAAAGAACATGTTCTCTGTTTTTTTATTAGGGGGCATTGATGTAGTGCTTTATAATAGCATGCCTTTTGTTTCTCTGTATCACTTTGATTGGCAGGACTATCTGTCTGGGCCACAGTTGAATATACGGTTGTCCCAGAGAAGACAACATATATAGTCTTCCTTGCTCACATCTTTACAGACTAATTTAATAGATCTGGGCAGACACAGCCACTCAAAAAGCTTTGCTCACATTTCATATTTGTCTTTAGAAATCATCTACAGTGGGCACTTACCTCTGGGTTGGTGTGAAGCTTATCATTCTCTTTACTTCTTTTTTTATTTGAATATTTTATTGGAAATGATAGAACAAGAGTTATATGACTGATGTCTTCTTATAGGCATTTGAGAGCTTTTATAGTTTATTTGGAATATGGTCCAGTTTCTCTCATTGAATGGGGCTCTGAGCTTGCTTTCTGGGCATTTTTCCTCTTTCACCTTTTTCTTTTCTTATTTTTTTTTAACTGTTTCTCTATTTTTTTCCAGCTTTTTTATTTGAATTAGAAACAGGATTGTTTTACATGACAATCCCAGTTCCTTTCTCCCACCTGTCCTCCCCTACCCCCCCAACTAAAACCTTATCTGTCACATATCTTTTCTGCTCCCCCCTGGATGGTGAGGCCTTCCATAGGGTGTCAGCAGAATCTTTCGTATCCTTTGGGATAGGGCCTAGGCCCACCCCCGTGTTTCTTGGCTCAGGGAGTATTCCTCTATATGGAATGGGCTCCCAAAGTCCACACCTATGCTAGGGATAAATACTGGGGTTCTTCAGGAGGTCCCATAGATTTCTGAGGTTTCCTCACAGAAACCCATGTTCCTGGGGTCTGGATCAGTCCCATGCTGGTATTCCAGCTATCAGACTGGGGAGTAAGAGTTCCCGGATGTTCAGGTCAGCTGTTTCTGTGTGTTTCACCAGCCTGGTCTGGACCTCTGTGCTCTTCACTGGTCCTTCTCTGCATCTGGGTTCCAGTTCAGATCCGTGATTAGTTATGGGTGTCTGCTACTTCTACCAGCTGCTGGATAAAGGCATATAAGTCAGTCATCAATCTCATAATCAGGGGAGGGCATTTAAGGTAGCCTCTCCTCCATTGCTGAGATAGTTAGCTGGTGTCATCTTTGTAGACCTCCAGACATTTCCCTGGTGCCTGATTTCTCTGTAAACCAAAAATGTCTCCCTCTGTTATGATATCTCCATTCTTGTTATCGTGTATTCTTCCCCTGACCCATACTTTCTGCTCCCTCATATCCTCGGCATCCCTAATAGTGCATGAATTAATTGAAATGGAGCAACCACTCACAATAGAAGATGTCTACCAATGTCTAATAACCTTTCCAAATACCCAGAAACAGAAACTCTGCCAAAATGTGGCATGTAGTGTCTAAAACATGACTTCCTAATTTTGAGAAGTTAATGAAAATAAAGGGATATTTCTTCCAGTTGATTTCTCAGATTATCATAAAAGGGGAACACAAAACAAGTGTCTAATAATTTCTTATAGCTATGTATGCCTTTTCTGAGTTCCTTAAATTGAGCCTTTGATTCAGTTAATTATCTGTACATTCACATTAGTTATAGCTCCTTACCATAGTCATGTTCATTATCCATAACCCTACACAGATAACACTTTCAACAATAGATGAATGGTTTATGGTATGTTAGAAGAGAGAACAAAGGTTAAAAGAAAGGAAAAGTGGAGTTAGAATTCAAAGACTCTCTTCCTAAGAGGCTATATTCACTCTCCCCTAAGTAAAAATACGAGCTATGAGAATCAGTGGGGATTTGTTCTTTGGGGGTAATTTTATGTTTGTATTAAATTCCGTAGCAGGAAGGTGGTACAGTGGGAAGCCTTTGGTTTTATCAGAAAATATGTTTTGCCCCCTCTGTTAGCATTTATCTTCTACAACCACACTCATGGTCGGGAAATGTTGGATGTTTTTGTGCACCAGCTTCTTGTCTTCACCACCATTTTGGCGGGTCTGGTTACCTTCATAGAGTTCCTCACAAAGAACAATGTACTTCTGGAGCTCCTGCGGTCAAGCCTCATCATACTGCAAGGGACCTGGTTCTGGCAGGTGAGTTATAACTTGGAGCTACGACACCTGGTGTCACCTATCTGTAGTTTTTCTTCTTAATCGAGGAGGCATTTGTTTTTAATACATTCTTTCTATGAGCATCTAAGAAGTGATGTTCTTGGAGTGACCTGGTGGTTCTGGTGAGACTTCTGTCAGAACAGCTTAGGAGGAAGCAGGTAGTGTATTCCTTCCCTATGGGTCCACTTATCCTTTATGTAGGAATTCTGAGTTGATCATTATGGTTGTTAGTGATTCCTGGTACTAGAACAGCCTAGAGCATAATGGGCCATGAGCTCAAGAACTATGTGAAAGGAGAGAGAGAGAGAGAGAGAGAGAGAGAGAGAGAGAGAGAGAGAGAGAGAGAAACTCTTACTCTTACTGAGAGACAACTCTGTGATGGCCACCATGTGGGTTTAATGTACATCTTATTTTATCTTTTTTTTCAGAAAACAGTTATCTCATGTTTATCTTGCATATAAAATCTTTGTGTGGAATAAAGACATGAAATACAGTGAGGGGGGAGCCAGAAAGGGGGACGCAGTAGGGAGGAGGGCAGGACAGGAGAGGGGAGGAGAACAAGAAGTTATATGGTGTGTGTGAGGCAAACATACCATGAAGCTCCTGATTTTGTGAAAACAGTGTGGGGCTAGCAAGATAGCTCAGTGGGGAACAGTGCCTGTCACTTTTGGAGAGGACAGAGCTTTTGTTCTTAGCATTCATGGCTCATAAACTCCTGTAACTCCTACTCCAGGGGTCCGGCATCTCTGGCACCAGATGGTACCTGGTCAGGGCTAGAGGCCCTGCCTAGAATTCCCTGGTGAGGGGCTGGGAGCATGGCTCAGAGGTAGAGTCCATCTTGTTTTATTGTATCTCTGTATCCTTACAATGATCCAGAGGTTAGGAATTACCACCTTTAATTTGTCTATAGGTGTCTTCAGCAAGACCAAGATATTTTCTTGTGCTCAAACAGTAATACAGCTAAGACCTAAATCTAGACTTCTCTAGCCCCAAATCCCAAACAATTCCCATTTTATAGCATCATCAGCTCCCTAAACTTGCTGTGCTATCGAGAGCATTCATTCAAACAGTGAACGTTTATTTTTGAGAGACAATCAAGACACAATCACGTTCATATATAGATGTAAACAAAGTCTAGAATGAGGTGGGGATGCAATTGGATTAGGCCAAACTTTGAAGAGGAGATTTTTGTCACCAGAGAGCCAGGATGTGGGGTGATGTGACTATTTTAGGGACTTGAATTTCACATAAGCACTGCTAAAGAATTGGCAGGTGATGGTGAAAGAAGTGAAGTGGTTTAAATGAGATACGAAGATGAAGTGTCCACACATGGGGCAAGGCAGAAGAACTTTTGGTGCAGGGACCAGTAAGGTGGGTCTAGATTCCTGCATGAGTTTGAAATATGCTTCATAGAAAAATATTATAAAGATCCTATAAAGTGATCAATGTAGTAATTGCTGATGATAGCAAGCTTAGGTAGAATATTAACCCTAAATGGAAGACGATGATACATAAAGAACTAGTGTCCATTGAATTGCAGTGCTTTCTCATGTGCATATCTTTGGTAGTCAGAAGGAAAGTTGTTGTTTTTTTTTTTTTTTAAGAGAAAACTTGCGGTCAAGTTGACACACTGAGGTTATGCTTCAGTGAATATTCTCTGCTCTGAACACATAACAAGGACAGGTAAGATAGACAAATGCCTTCAGTGATTGGAAAAGAGAAAAAAACAAAAAATTTAAAAAATATCTAACTACACTCAGGTGAAACAGATAAAAGCAGGTCTTAAAGTCTTGTGGGCCAAAACCAAAACAGAAGTACAAAGCTGGAGAGGAGCTGAGTTGCTGGCCTGCTGATGCTACTCCAAGGCAGAGAGACAGTGATTGACAGCTGTTGGGGAAATACCCGGCTCTTGTACCATTTTCTGCTTTGTATGTATTTTCTATTTATGGTCATTTTCATCAGATTAGTTTCTTGAAGTTTGTAGAAATTTTACATTACTAGAATGGATTTGTTGTATTTTTTTTTTTTTTTTGCTCTTTTTCCTCTGTTATGAGGCTGTCTCACTTCTTTTTCTCTAGTTTTGTTATTGTTGCTTGGGTTTTTTGGTTTGGTTTGTTTAGGTGGCAATTTCTTTTATTTTTAATCTTTCTTTTTTAAAAAACACATTTAATCCTAGACATTATTTTATCTGTAATTTTTAGTGTTACATTTCTAGTGTGCTTTCATCTTTAATTCATTCATGAGTTCTTTTGGTTTCTTTCTTTCTTTCTTTCTTTCTTTTTTTTCTTCCTTTCTTTTTTGATGGCAGTGGGGACTAAAACCAAGGTCTTAAGGTAAATGGGCACACTTCCTATTGCCTGTCACTGAGTTGTGGGCCCATGACTAGGAACACAGTTTTAAATTTCAGAGTGTATCTTTTTAAATATCACTCATTCCCTGTTAGTTGCATTGTGAGTAGAGAATGTGTTTTCTTTGAAGGGTGCTAACATTTCCTCTGGGACATAACGTGATGTCAGTATGAATTCTCTGTGTGTTTGAAAAGGCGTATATCACCTCTTTGCTCAGTTCAGGTTTCTTTGTTATTTATCTTTTTGTTACTGCATCAAATGCCTGAGGTGATCAATTACAGAGAGAAAATGGTTATTTTCACACATGGTTTCAGAGGTCCTGGTCCATGAATTCTTAGTTCTTTTGTCTTTTAGGCCTAGCGTAAGTGAGCATACCACAGCAGGAACATGTGGAGAGAACACTTGCCTCATGTTTGGAAAGTGAAAGATAGAGGTAATTACTAGGGTTCCACAGTCTCCTTCAAGGATATGCCTCTAATGACCCAAGGGCTCCTGTAGGTCTCCAATCTAAAGGGTAGGTGACCTCAATAATGACACCATGGAGAGCAAGTCTCTACCATATGGACTATGTATTATTATTCAAATTATAACATACATACATACATACATACATACTAGTTCAATTTTATTAATGAATTTAATATTCATGTGAAGAAAGACAGTATGAACAAGAGAAGAAATCCAAGAGAATTGAAGAAATTACAAGCTAAGATTATGATTAATGAAATCAATTGTTATTTAGTTAATAACTTAGTTATTGGCTCTGCTTAGATAAAAAGAGGGAAATCACACTATAACTCAACCAAGAATAGGACATCTTAATGCTGCTAATTTGGGCATGACAATAATATTTTCCTATTTCCTGAAGTTTTCTTTAAAAAAGAGCTATGAGGTTACAATATTTAGGGATAAATTTCTGATTATTTAGTAGTCTGTTAACCTAGGCTGGTTTCTAACCTAAGGCCAGATGTCTAACCTCAATATTGTCTTAGACTCTTAAAGAAAAATTACTGTTTTTAACCTGGGTAAACACACACTAACAGGATATGACTGTTTAGCTACAGTAACTGCCTCACCCTTTAGTTCCTCTGAAATAAATATGTCTGAACTCAGGGGAATGCCTTATGCTTCCATGTTTTATTGATATGTGCAGTATATGAACATTTATATTCAAATCTCTTTCCTAAACTAATGACATTGTACTGTGATTTGCTTTTTACCACTTTTGTCTCTTACTATGTCTCCATAAATGGCCAACACTGGTGCAGAAGTTATATACACACAGATTAGAGCAAACTCCACTTGGACTCTTGGAAATGTATGTATGGAGGTATGAGCTGAATGAGGAAAAGTTGTATAACTTAAAGTGAAATGATTGTGTCATATGCAGACAGAAGAGAAATTTCCCTCCTAACCTATAAAAAGTTATTTCCTAAACGTATGACATTTAAAACATGTTTATTAGATGACTAATTTAAAAAAGAAGAGAAACTCCCTGTGCCTTTCATCCCATGACAGTCTTGTCCCAGTTTCTCTGTGGGAGAGCAGCTCACCCTGTAGTTTGTTTGCCCAGGCTCACCCTGTAGTTTGTCCTTGCAGGCTCACCCTGTAGCTTGTCCTTGCAGGTTCACCCTGTAGCTTGTCCTTGCAGGCTCACCCTGTAGCTTGTTCTTGCAGGCTCACCCTGTAGCTTGTCCTTCCTTTGCTTCTCCTCATCTTCCTCAGAGCACAGGACAGTCAGGCAGTAGGGAAGCTGCTCTTGTTACCTTTGCTTCTTGTCACTTTGGACAGTTGTTTCCTGTGTATATTTCTAGCTCCATTTGTCCTCATGTCCCAAAGATTGCCCACAGGACAACTGCCTGGATTCTGAGTCCAAACTGTAACTCATCCTCATCTGGGCATTAAGAAAAACAAAATGGCAGTTAAGAGCACATGCTGCTGTCGCAGAGGATCCAGATTCAGTTTTCATCACCCATATGGTGGCTCACAACCCTTTGTAACCCCACCAGGCATGCAAGTGTCGTTCAGACATGCATGCAGGTAAACATGCATACACATAAAATAAAATAAATAAATCTTTATTTAAAACAAAAGTCCATTCCAAAATGGAAAAATGACTCACAGTAGTACTCCAAAGCATGTTTAGACTTGTAATGTTGATGTAAATGAGAATAATAAAATATATAGCAATATAAAATTAACACTGTAAACTATAGAAAATGGGTCTCTGGCTTATTCCTTATTGGACAAGAAAGTTAACTAGAGCTGAAACCTAATAGTAGTGAGCCTTAAACCAATTGAAACACTTTTTATTGGAGGGTAGCATACAGAATATAGTTAGAATAATTCCTTCATAGGTCTTTTCACTTACAATTTTATGATAGAAAACAAAGTAGGAGAGCTAATAAAAGTGTAATGTTCATTTTTAACGATGAATTAATGAGTTTGTTAGTTTCCGGGTCCTTAGTTACATATTCTTAATTTACTCAGGTTTAGCTTAAAGGATAGAATGTCTCTTGGCTCCAACTTGGCCTTTAGCCATATATATATATATATATATATATATATATATATATATATTTCAAATGTTGGCAGGTGTGGTTCCAGCACTGAAGTCAATAATATGTGCACAAA